AGCTCCGTTTACCATTCAGAGGCGACTCCAGGGAATTTTTTGAGAGGCATGTCAGGACGTGTCATGGACTGTCCCAGATGAGTGTGCTGTTCACGGCCCTGGGATTAGACACTAGACACACCAGAGTGAAAACGTAATCACCCATTTGTATATTCCGGCATCGTTACCGAAAAGTTGGCTCATTCCTAATGTAAAATGTTTTGCATGGATGCTTGTACTCGTCCTTTTACACTACGTGCCGTTCACATCTATTAAAATTGCGACACTCCATAAGGTGTTTTTTTAAACCAGTTTCCTATTTTCCAGGGTACTCATTTGACCAAATCTGTGGGCTGTTATATGCCAAAAAGCTTTCGCTTCCGCTATCAATTTGAGCCCACATAAACAGAAAAATCCTCCCAGTAGACTCGGAAGCATCAGGGAGCTCAAATGAACTCCTCCTTGTGATATAAGCAAATTCACTGCCTTAAAACATGCTTCAAGCTGGAAACCGCACATATATTGCGTAAAGTTAATTATCAACCTCACGATATGATCTTCCCAAAACTAGCGATGCTTATTTCCTACCTGCTACATCACTATGTCTTACGATGAGCGCTAAACCTATTTATTATTTCAGATACATTTAAGCGGAATTCGAATTGAATGAGCCTAGCTATACCCAATCGGACTGACTCCGTGCTGAGTGAAACGCCATCAGTTGTCATGTTATTTTAACGTTAGCGACGTCTTAACGCGAAGAAAAGCAAAACAGGCAGAGCAAAACGCATTCCGCGGGACATCTCTGTTTTCTTCCCACATTATGATCATTATCAGGGTTGATAGCCTTACTACCTGCCTAAGTTTACTGACATCTGCACATCTTGTCGCCGTTCTTACTAGGATAAATCTTTCTGCGGCTCATGTGTTTATTACCAAGTGGAACTAGCGTGGAATTAGATACTTTCAGAGCTTTAGTGAAGCCGTGGCCCTAGCTACTCACCGCACCGCAAGGCGTGGGGCCTGTGCTAGGGTTTTGCAAGCTATTTACCTCACGACGGTGTCGTCACATAGTGGGTTTGTGCGAGCCCTGCAAGTCAAGTTGCCCTTTTCACGTCTGAGCAGAGCACATAATATACGGAAATGTCAAGAATCACTTATGACCGGCATGACCTCAGGGTCTCGGAATTTCCGGTATTAAATATTTACGTGATTGACCCTCTGTGAGCTCGTGGCGGGTTAAACTGATGAGGTACATCAACGGCGTTGCGGATGATTCATGTTCTCTCGGTGATTTTCAGATAAACAAAAGATACATGTCATACACATCCTCGATTACATTTGCATGCCGAGAATTCCATGCGAACACTGCAGCGCTCACGTCTGGAGCACTTCGTGGACCCCATGATTTGCCAGAATTTTCGCTGGCACCATTGCAGTCTCTTCGTTGCTTAGTCCTATCATTTAAAGGGAGGGAAGGGGCATTCGTCACCCTCTCGTTTGTTTTGCAGGTTTCTTCAAAGCGTCTCCGAGCAGACTGTCGAAATTCTCCGCCTTTTTCTACTTGTCCTTTCTGCATATTGTATAAAAATGTAAGGTACGTGGCAGACGCAAGGGTGATTTCAGGGTCCGGTTTGAGAGGGACCTCAAGTGAAATTTGACGATATTGCGAATATGGTAATCGTCGGGAGATTATGTGCGTTGCTTTGCGCCTACATGACTTAGAACTGTTTCCAGAGTGCTGAAACAGTTGCGCCATGAGTGTTGCTATTGCCATGTAGGTGAGCATTGTCATGTAGGCGAAAAGAGGCATGGCACAGCCGGGTCTAGGGCTGGAAAAAGGATGAGTTTTCATACAATATAAAGAACATTACGGGTCCTCGAAACAGGCAAAAAAAAAACACAACCAAGTTCTCCATCTGTCACGAGCCCTTTGAGACATGTAGTGGTGTGCGTGTGCCTGCTATGTGTGCACACATATGTAGTGGTGTGCGTGTTCCGGTGGAGCAAAAAACGGGGTGCAGAGGGACATGGTGGTCTGCCCAGGCCCGCACTACGGTGATTTGAACGGGCAGTTAGAGAAAATATATGCAAGTGTGAAGGAGGAGAAGGGTAACATTTTTTTTTTTAACACGGAGGTGCCTCCAGGGGTGAGAGCAAGGGGGCGAGAGTGATAATGTTTGAAACATGAAGCATTCAAACGTTATGTACCTATCATTTGTCACTCATGTGCAGCAAAAAACATCCAAAAAGATACCGCATGTGAGTAGTTATTTCAGCAAAGATAAAGGAGGAGAAGAAGAGTTATTGCAGGTCAATTAGCTACATGCAACAGATCGCATTACATTACTTAACCTGAACCCGTCCAGGGACTCGTGAGGCCCTCTTTCGAGGTTTTCGAGGATTTTACAACTGGTTGCAGGTCGATGAGAAATGTATCACCTCTTCATGTACCTTTTTGCATGTGCTGTAGCAATAATGGAGTCAATGTCCCTATAAATCGGTGATCTAGAATGGGTCTAAGAGGCTCGTGTTGCCTTTTTTGGAGCATGCCATTCAGTGCGAGTGTGATCGATCGGCACTAAACCTAGCACATGGTGAACATTCATTGTTAGCCATAATTATAACATCTTGAGGTCTTGTTATGCTTCTGGGTCATTTTCCTGAGGGTCGATGACCCCCGTGAGCCATTGTGAATGCTTTTCTGGGCGATATCTATCCTGTTAGCATTGTTCTATTGCAAAATGATGTAAATAGATACTAGGAAGGTGCTTAAGCTAAACCGTATTTTAAATATTGATGACCTAATTCAGATTGAGTAGCCCTCATGACATCCCTTAGTAGTTTTCTGAAGAATGGGCTGTTACGAATATATATATTTAACTTGTTTTATGGATGTGTGTGACTGACTCAGACGTAGTTGAAGCTACCTCTATTGCAATTGCCTGACCTCCCTGACAATGTTTGACCTGGCATGATTTGGAGTTGCCTGAAACGCATGTTGGAAGCAAGATCCGCGTGTTAAACGGAGTCTTTCTAGACCATGGCGGGCCTTCGAAGATTCTAAAAAGCGCGAATGGGGGCATCTCAGGCTCGCAAAGAGGCATTTCCGAGCCTGCTGGTTTGTTTTGTTTCGAAAGGTTTCATCGTGGTCTTAGAGAGAATCTTTTTTCAAATCAGGGCAGGACGTTTCGGTACTGAGATAAGACTTTCCGGGCCTGAGATGCAAAATTAACCCTTGCCGAAGTTAATATGCTCACTTCCCCATTTTGGAACGAGCTCCGCAATGATATCAAACGAGCTCTCACTGAGCCTAAGATGGGCCCTGTTAGCCTCGGTGCTGGGCTTTTCTGTTCTCACGATGGGCGTTTCCTAATCTAAGATGGGCCTTTCCGGCTCCGCTATGTGCCCTTTCAGGCCAGAAACGGGTATTTCACAACTTAAGAGGAGTGTTCCACACTGATATGGAGTTTGACTTGAAATAGCCATCTTGAAGATCGTTCTGTGCAGTTCACAGCCCTACATTTCTTAAGACCAAAACTCACCTAGTTTCTGAGATACACGCCGGCGAAGATGCGCAGACTTTTTTCATGGAGACTTCTTCAGGGCTATCCAGGCATCCATGACGCTATAATAGCGGCACTCAAATCCTGCCATTCTTTGGCCTTCATGGCCACATGGCTATGAGGGCAAAGAAAAATAGCTGTGCAAGGTACGATTACCATGACAAATGACGATGACAGATGACGGATGACGATGCTGACGACACATGATGACGATGACCAATGACAAATGACGATGACAACCGACGACGACAAATGACAATGCTAAATGACAAATGACGATGCCAAATGACAAATGAAGATATCGAAAACACATAATGACGATGACAAATGTCGTGCAACGTGCGATGACATAATCAGCCAATGGCGCATTGAAGAACATATCAATCAAACAGACAATTTGTGTTGTCTGAGGCAGCCGGTTCCACTTGAAAGTACACCAATAGTTACAAGCGAGCTTATTTCGTCATATCTGGTGCTCGCTTCAATATCTTCAAATGTGCAATATTTTCTTTGAAACTGTCAAGGCGTTTCGTCACTCTTCAAATGAACCATTTTCACGTTAAGGTAGGCCATTTCTGGACTTAGACGACTACTTTTTGAGCCCAAGACGACTACTAGACTACTAGAGACTACTAGACTACTTAGACTACTACTACTACTAGACTACTTAGACGACTACTTTCTGAGCGCCCGTGCTGAACCATAGATGGGCCCTCTACGCTTAGTTTGGTAACGGCACAAGCCAAGTACTCCCACACATTCGAGGGCCTTCTCCGGGCGAACTTAAAGTATGAGAAGAAACAAATAAGATAGTTTTGCCCACACCTCAAAAGGTGGGGAACGGACGGTTAACCCGTACCGCCTGCCCCAGGATGCGCTGCCACGTTCTGATCGTTCTGAAACGCCCGGCAGGAAGTGTAGCTGGCATGTGTTCCCCAGCAGCGCAAGTGGAAATGTTTCGCTGTTCGAATAAGAGCCGCTCTGTCTGCCACCTCGTTCCTGACGGCTACTGTTGGGTAGTATTTATTTTTAGGGGCTTCTTGACAGCCTGGGATATCTTTTACCACATGGGTTTCTTTGATGGCGAAATTCGATCGTCCCGTTTCCAGTGTCTCCGCCGGCTTCTCGGCAGGCGAGGGAAAATCTCGTGTGTGTGTAGCAAAGGACAAAAACCGTATGAGACCAATACAAAATCCACATAAATGTCAACATTTTCCACGGATTTTAGGAATCCCCGGCATTTGATATGCCTTGTCGGTCATTTTATGTCGGTCAGATTATTGCCCCTAGTTGCAACTCTGGATGTACCATTTCTAGCTGCCTCACGTACAAAAAAACAGACTGGGCATAAGTAGCCCACAGTCTGCAACGCTGCAAGGAGCTGTTGCATCGACTAGCACCACTTGTCAGTCACAGTCGGTGACTGTGACTGCGCTCATCACCGCTGTTTGGCAGGGCCGACGGACCCGCGGGCCGGCCACCGCTGCGCCTCCTACTGCCTGAGCGCCGACAACAGCAAGTTCGCCTACACGGCCGGCCAGACGTACGTGTATGCATACACCTCCGATGTTGTGACGACGCTAGCCGGCGCCACGGACGAGGCGTCGAGGCTGCACGTGAAGGCCACGGCCGAGATCGCGGCCAACTCGGCCTGCGACTTCACGCTCCAGGTCAGTGCCCGCTCACGGCTGCGCAGCACGCGGTGTAAGGTCAGCGGCCGGCCACGGCGGCGCCACATGTGGTGTAAGGTCAGCAGCCGGCTGCGGTGGCATGCTGGTGAGGGGACAGGCATGGGGCTCAGCACGCAGTGTGAGATCACAGCTGTTTGGTCGGTCACGACGGCAGACCGCCGCTAACCGAGGTCAAGCATGGGGCTGTGCCCTGCGGCGGTATGTAACGGCACCCTGTCCCCTGTCCCGGCAACCGGTACCCTGTAACAGTCGATAACGGTACCCTGTGCCCTGTGCCTGCAACCGATACCCAATAACAGTCGGTAAGGATAACCTGTGCCCAGTCAGAACAGCCAGCCACCTGCAATAGTCGGAATCAATACCCTGTGCCCTGTCCCGGCAATCAGCACCCTATAACGACCAGCAATGATACCATGTCCTTGGCATCACGAATACCAAATTACCCGTTGCGAAGTCTTCGATGACCGATGAACGAGCTCCCCCCGGCCAATGTAACGTCACTGGCACTGCGTTCCTGGTTTCAGTTGAGGGATGTCACCCTTGAGGACTCGGATCCGAAGAACGTAGATCGTCGAAGGCATGTGGACGATATGGCCTCCTTCAAAGACGAGCTGGAGAAATATCCGCTGTCCTTCAGGTAAGTAAGTGCCTGAATGAGCACACTTAAAAATATAAATAACAACTTTTAAGTACAAATTTGTATGTCTTGAATCCACAGGAAAACAAAAGGATATATCTATCTAATCTATGAACTACGTTTTTACCACAGACCCTGTGCGACGGCCGTAATCATGGCTAGGAAATGATAAAAATTACACGTGTGTATGACTCAGAATCACGCTTCAAACACCACATTGTAGTTGAAACGTATCGTTGCAGGATAAGCCGAGTGATCCTGGACATCTTTTGGAAACGGATTAGCTAGTTCGAGTATTTGCGCTTGCAAAATGCAAAATGACGAAACGCGTTGAAACTGTATGTTGCGCTACCCGGTCAATCCCGATCCATAACCAGCGCCGGACGTGCGCAGACCGTAAAACGAGAGCAAACATGACATGTGATCTACCGCTGTGTGCTCTCTTTATTCGCTGTAACCCTTTTTGCTTACCGTATGTTCAGGAGCGAGCCGAAAGGATACCCTGGTTGTTTTGACTTTGACCAAAACACAAAACACACATTGACTTCAAACACACGGCTGACGCTATGAGATGAAGTGATATCGTCATGCTCAGCGAATGCATATACGATGTAACTCTCATATTCCTCATGCTCATTACCAGCAGGAGCGAATGAATGCGCAATCCAAATTCGTTTGCAATCAACTGCGTGTTGGCAGCGTCGGCGCGAACAAGCGTGGTTCGTGGCGCGTGCGCATGCGCGAGCGGCAGTAGCGCCGCGCCGCCGTGAGCGACGCTTCGGCGGGGCGCTGCGGGACGCCGTGCATCTCATATTTAGACCGCGCCAGCAGGATCTGATCTGGCTTTTGTCAGAGGCAGCGGTCGGGAACCCCACTGCCGCCGGGCTGTTGTTGATATGATCTGTCGTCTCGGCCGGGTGTCTGGGTCTCGCTCAGGCTGGAAGAGCGCATTTGCATACAGAGGCGCCGGCATGCAGCGCTCTAAAGCCGATAGTGACAGTCCGCAATGGCGCGGGTGAATGTTTGGTGCAATTCACTTCTGTTTTGTGCATAACTCACGAAAGATGGAATTAACATGGACACACTAATTAACATGGACACATATAACCTGCGACGTATCTTGTCAAGTGAAGGGGGTGAATGAAGTTGTGTTAACTCCTCTGGATATATAAAAACTAAACAAGCCACATCGACGGGGATAACAGAGCTAGAAAGGGATTCCAAATATGTAAATTACGTACCATCAACGTGCAAAATCGTTTTACTTTTGAACGGTTAAATTTGGTGACGCGCTGTAAATCCGGCCTAACCTTATGTTGGATTATCTGACGTTTAAAGGCCACCAGAACGATAATAATGCAGATCACTTCAGAATGGCATAAACATAGAATGATCACATGCAAACTCTTTCCGGACACTTTCCATGTGAAATGGACGACAATTGTGAGCATACAAATGCAGATGCACCATAACCGTTAACCATTAAATTCAGAACCCCGAATAGGAACGTGTGTAGAAATAATGTGAACTAAGATCATGAAAATTTTAGCACAATGCTAAAACCTTCAGACGCTGTTCCGGAAAAGTTAGGGTGTCTTATGTTTGGCAAAGGTGCATTCAGGTAAATACACAGCTAAATAGCGATGTCGAGCCCTCATAGCCAACGTTAGATGACTAGATTATCATGCAAACATAAAATACAGGATATGATTGGTGCTATTAGCTGATGATCAACATCTTAATGCAAATTAACAGAAAACATGCACGGTAGGCAAGATGGATTCGATCATTGTGTACACATATGGCCAGTTTCAAGAAAATGTCTTCATTTGTTCCAAACTTACTCTCTTCCAAGCCGCACTGCCTTGACCGGGTTTCGGAAGGCCGACAGACCGTTACCTGATTTCGACTCGGAATGACGAGACGCATATGAATGAACATTTCTGTGGCATGTCAGGGCAGAACTATTCTGGAAGCATGTGTCATAAGACCTTTTTGAGCTATTGACAATTTAATTTTTGGATAGTTGGCCTGACCTCAACCAAACCTCTCTATTTCACCACAAAATAGACGCAGAAAAGGCCTATTACCGCAGTTTTGAGAGAGAACAGGTTTGGGCTTTCAAACGGCGGTTGATTGTTTCGATCCACCCATGGCTCCGGAGATATCAGAATGGTCGTATCCGAACGGCCTAAGGTTTAGGTGCGGCCGGTTTTAGCATCCCAGATTGCGTTTGAAAAACTTGTTCAACATTTGATGATATTAATGCATCATGTACCACATGGTATGATCTAAGAACGCTTGGGTGGATGAGATAATTCATCCCTTTCTCACCTGTCGTTTTCTGTCTGTCTGCCTGTCGTAACGGGTCTTAATGGTTGCTATTTTCTATGTTTCGCCACCCCATTACGGCTTAAGAGATTGCCGAAAACAGCTCCATTTGCTACTGCATTCGCGCGCATGCTCGCCCTTAACGATAGAAAGAGGACACCATGCGCATTCATCGATTATGCCTCAAAGATGGCCAAAACATGTGAAACGATCCATTTATTTTCTCCAAAGCACTTCTATTGGCCCCAAGTGCAGTGTCATGATTGTTTCAAACAGGAAATAAACGCAGAAGTAATGAAGAAGACAGGCTGTATTGTATCATTCTTTAAAAGTCAAACTATTGCTTATTACTAGCTTCATCCACAAAAGTGGACCCTCTCTCTCTCTCTCTCTCTCTCTCTCTCTCTCTCTCTCTCTCTCTCTCTCTCTCTCTCTCTCTCTCTCTCTCTCTCTCTCTCTCTCCTCTCTCTCTCTCTCTCTCTCTCCTCTCTCTCTCTCTCCTCTCTTCCCCCTTCTTCACCCCTTTGTCCCTCTGTCTCTCTTCTTACCCGCCCCCTCTCCATTCGATGAGAGTTAAACCCACAGGCGTCAGCAGCATTGCGATGCACTGTTGACAGAACGCATGTTTTCGATGTTACAGCTACCAGGACGGCCGAGTGGAGGAGCTCTGTTCCAGTCAATTTGAGTCTGTATGGGCGCTGAACTTCAAGCGCGGCCTTCTCTCGGCCACCGTCAACAACCTTGAAACGCTTGACTTGGGCGAGACCCAGAAGTACGAGGTATGACGTCACGGCGCCAGCGGCAGACTGACGCGCTCCTAGAGGAGCGCACACACACACACACACACACACACACACACACACACACACACACACACACACACACACACACACACACACACACACACACACACACACACACACACACACACACACACACACACACACACACACACACACACACACATACACACACACACACACACACACACACACACACACACACACACACACACACACACACACACACACACACACACACACACACACACATCTCTTTTGCGTGTCGTGTTATGCATTGTGAAAGCTGTCAAAATAACTGTAAAACGTTAAAATGAACCACCGTTTCGAGCTTGCACAAACAAATTACGAACAAACTGCTTCCGTTTGCTGCGCTGCGCGAAGAGGTGACGCCCGTGGTGTCAGTAGTGCCGCCACCCGTGATTCGATTCCTGTATAAATGATACAAAATGTACCGCCATTACCGCCTCCATGATATGCTACCATACAACTCCCGTCACTCCATACGTAACTTGGAAGCATTACGTGAATATGGATATTCGATTTGGCGCCGCTCGAGAAGCAATGCATTTCCAAAGGCTTGGGCTTTACACAGTCTATTTCCCTAACGTATACAAAGATGTCTCCCTGCTGAATGGCAAAACATGTCCCAACTCTGCGCGCACTCAGACCAACGCCCGTATCAAAAAGGCTCAGATCTATTTTTTGTATCCTCACGAAAGTGTAAGCCGTTGTATATATACACATGGCGGCATCCATCTGACCATCCGTGCTGGGTGTCGGTGGGGGGGGGGGGGGGGGGGAGGGAAGAAGCAGGATAGTTGAACAAATTTAGCTGCATAGACTTGCGATTTTTGCCCGCTTGCTTTGTTGCGCGAAGATGTAACGCCGTTGGCGTTAGTATAGCACCACCTTCAGTCAGATAACATTGATTGCATCTCACTTGTGATCATGGTGTCTGACAAGATTTGCTAAGCTTGTAGTGTGCTTTCAGTTTCTAACCCTACGTGAGTCTGGAGGTCTTTCTCGAATAGCTTTTGAGCGACTTTAAGCACGGTTTTGAAATTTTGGGCGCCTGAGATTATCGCATTTTTAGACACTTTGTTCGAACTCGGAGTTCTGAGCTGGATAGCTCATGATGTAGGTCATGAACTCATATCTTTCCAAGATCATGTCGTTGACATTTTGCTCAAAGGCGGCGGGGTTAGGCTGCAAGGAAGGGGGTAAAGCCGCACTTGCCAAGGTAATAATCGCCTTTACTCCTTCAACCTGACAATATATGACGGATCGCATGCGTCGATGTTCACCAGTGACTGTCTCATTAATATTTCCATGGGGTATTTAAAGTCAACGTCCGCATTGTATTAGCATGTTTAGTCCTCCAGATGTTGTGTTGTGTTAAATGTAGTCCTATTAATTGTAGACTTGAACATTTTAAATTGGTTTTACCCTTGCAAGGCCACATTCACCATTGCGCAAGCATACCTATTTGATGTGGTTTGACGAGAGCTTTCCAATGCTGTTTTCCGTGAGACTCCAGCTTGCTTACTTTTTTAAATCTTAAGGGGTCTCACGCCCCGTTGTTGGGCAAAGGTAAGAAACCGTAAGGCGAGGATTAACAGTCTTCTCCGTGCGCGGACGCTTTATATGCAACGTCGCTCAGCTTTGCGGCATTTTTTCCAATGACTTGGCTCAAATCTTGACCCTCGCACAACAGGTTTCTCCCACATATGCGAAAAATGTCTGCTAAGCACTGAAGCGCTCTCCATTCCTACATACGCCGTGCCTGCCACCGCTATCAGGCGTGCTTGAATTTATGTTACGGATTGCCACAAAACTTGAGCGCATTGTTTGTGCACATTTTACGACAATCCGTGCACCTTTCTGCGCTGTGCGTAGGTACATCTAACGAAATGAAGACATACACACATACACACAGACTGGTTGGATTTTCCCAGCCGAAACTGTATTAAGTACATGCGTGACGCGAGGTGAGAGTTAGGCTTACAGTTGTAATTGGGAATGTAATGAAGCGTGTTTTATTTATGTCCATACACCGGCTGTGAAGAATCATATTTTAAGGCTAGCGTACGGAAAACACCATGTGCGTGTGAAGTTTCCAGTTGTGAGAAACTCTGTCTGCTCAGACGGACGTGTCCGGCTACTGCTCCACCAACTACACCGTCCGCAACTTGGGCGACATCACCGCGGTGATCAAGACCAAGGAACTGCTGACCTGTCGAGAACGCGGCCACCTCGTGTCCTCACTTCAAACGACACCCTACCATTCGGCCTCCAACATTCAGTCCATGCCGTTGCTAAGGTAAGGAACGTTGGGGGAGATGATCGCATTCTGACAACATCCGTTAACTTCACAGACTCTGCATGACGCCTATTAGTAGATCTCAGTCTTAGCACTCTGGCTTCTGCCTCACCAAAGAAACTTTGAGTCTGGTGTTCTATGTTCACATCCACTTTCACTCCTCGGGATATCACCGTGTGCTTTTATGTTAGCAATCTCAGATGCTGCTAGAAAAACTCTTACTTGGCTTGTTTTTTTTTATTTTTGCTTGAAAAACTTACGACTTGACTCGCGTATGGAAGGTACCGCCTTTTTCTTGACGGCCGGTACATCTCATGTCCACATCCACTTTTGTTCCATAGTATATCAACGTTGCATTTTATGCAAGTGATCTCAGGAGCCGTCAGAAAAAAGTCATGCCATGAAAGGATAGTTGATGATAACTTGTTTCAACAACACTAGTGCTATCCTCGGAGATGAAGCGTTGCCAGATAACTGTAAATTGGACTGTCACTTCGACGACATGGAGACATTTTCTCTCGAACCTCCACCTCAGCATGATATTCCTGGGAGACTGGTCGTTACGGTAAGATGCGAAGGAGACAGGGGAACGTTTTCTAAATTTGTACGTCAGTGAAGGCCCCTGCGTTAATCCGGCGCCGACTTCCCGGGTCAGAGGGTCGCCCGCGTCAGGGAGGGGACCAAGCATTACGTATCCCTCTAGGGGCATTCGGATGATGTGGTGGCACCTCCGTGCGTTGTCAGGACGGCGGCCGGTAGGCACCCCGCGCTGGGACGGAATGACCCTTTGGCTCTGAACGGTAAAGATGATATGCCCCCGCCCCTAGTGCTCCACCCACGGGACCTCTTGCCCGGAAAAGGTAAGGGGCCTCCTTAGCGGTCAGTATAGGGAGCCGGGCCAAAAAGCCAAGGTAAAGCCAAAAATTCAAATTGTCACCCCATGATTGCACGAGGATATCCATCCTGTTAACAGAACGAACTAGTAGCGCAAATTTCGTCAAGTATTTTGAGCCTGCGATCCTAGCAGCAAAAATACTGATGGTTGGGGCTGCATCTTCCGTCAATCCGAGCGGCATTGCCGGCTGCGGCTAATACCGGCGCAAGGTGGACGTCAGACGCGCAAGCACAAAACGTTGAGGGATAGGCTTTCGAAAATCCTTTAAAATCATGTCGTACCGTTCAAAAATAGGATTGGGGCTTAAATAGGATGGCATTTGTGCAGAACTGTTACATCAATACGATATATATATATATATATATATATATATGTGTGTGTGTATATATGTATACACACACATGTATATATATATATATATATACATATATATATATATATATATATATATATATATATATATATATATATATATATATATATTTCCTCTTACTTTTATAATTCCGTCTCAAGACTTTGCTACCAGTTCACGGTGTTGTAAATGTTATTACATTCCAGTCATCAGTCTAAATGTTGCGCCGGTAAGATATACGCTACCTTCGAATTACCTTTCAAGCGGTCTAATTGGTGTCATGAGCGTTCAAAGGCACCTTTTCAAACACGCATGGCGGGTACGATAGGCCATGTAAGGACATTGATATGACGCCATCCAGGGTCAATGACCTACATCACCAGTAGCGGGGCGGCAAGATGAACGAGTGCGACGCGCGTAACCACCTCATTATCGTGTTTGTGAAGCTGATGACGTCTTATTTCATGTACCAACGTACCTGTTCTCAATGTGTCACGAATACATTGCCAAGCGCCGAAAGGGCTATATATAGTGTAGCCAACAGCTATACGATCTTGAGTATATGCAGATGCGCAATACACTATTTCTGACAACAGAAAAGTGTTGTACTGGTCACAGAGACCCGGTTAGCACTTCAATTTTTTTCAATTGGATATCTCATCAATTTGACCTAATTTGGCCCCAGTTAAACTCTAGGTCAGCCTACAGTGGTCGTTTTGTGTCTGGAATGCGTTTTCCGCACAGCTGGATCTAATAAAACGAATTCGGTCAGAAAGTACGCTGTGAAGAAAAGTATTACTCTTGTAGGCGACTGGTAGAGCAATTTTGAACGGTGGCCTAATCTGAGCTGCGCCATGTAAGGGAAAAAATGGCCGAATCTGGACTCCCCACAGTCTTATCGCTTGTTTACGCGCCCTCAATGTCCGTCTTGGCGTGCTGCCATAAGGTATAAGCGCATCTATCGGAGCGGCCATTTTTGACCTCTCGTGACCCCTGGTGACCTGATATTCGACTTAAGGTCAAATAATTGGTTTGTATTCCTCACTATTTGACCATACCTTTAGAACGGTATTTTTGTTTTTTCGCGCGGCGTCCAGAAGTTGGAGATCGCAGGGGAGACGTCAACTCCTCTCCCCCCGGCCGGGCGCGGTTGTCTTATGTCCCCGGCCGGGTACGGATTAACGCTTGATTCCTTCAGTTTATTAACTTCCAAATGCATGAAAATTGCATCCTCGCCTGTTTTATGGCTCCAGTTTACGTTACAAAATGTAAAAGCAATAATGTAACGAGGAAGCCGTGTCCCACGAATTTAAGTGGGCTACACCCGGCTAGTTTTCCGGGACTCTTCCACCACCACGGGACCTTAAGGGACCCTTTCACCACCACGGAACCTTTGATATCCTTGTGCTCCCACTCTTACCAAGACTCTGGCTGTTCCCGTGATCTCTGCAATTTTTTCTGGCTACAAATCGCTCATAAAAGCTGAATCATCAGAAAATAAACTGAAAACTTGTTTTTAATTGGAAAGCTTTGCGCCTTAGTTCGTAGTGAAAGCGGTTGCAATGTTTGTTTAATGTACAGGTTCTCAGAAAGAAAAAGCAAACGAAAGATGCTGAGTTTCGAGTAAACAGATCGTTGGAAGGAACAATGGTGTGAAATCTTACCTAATAATCACTCTGCTTCTGGTGACTGTTTATTATCAAGGCACATTTCATTCCTGCCGATTGCCGAGCTGTTCAGTTAGCAGTTATGAAGGTAACCTAGGTGTCACTACCCGGCAAAAGATGGCAACAGCAATGCCCATGCATGCCCAAGAACGTAAGCTTTACGCCCGTATGGTCTTCAATAAACCTCTGGGGATATCTCCCAAATGCACGTTTTATTTTTGGCCAGCACTGGATGACAGCAGCACAAAGCGTATGGACACTAGATTGACGTTAGGTGGGCTTTCACGGAAAAGAAACCCGCCATGTGTCAAACATATCATTTTTCTCCAACATCCTGCTGTTGACAGCTTAGCAACGTTGGTTCGTAATTTGATACATCTGACGCGTCCTATGTATTGAATTGTCCGTTCAACAGGTGACAAGTTTAGAGACTGAGGCGCAGCTTTGGTCACCACATTTGGAATATTAGGGGTCAGTCACCCGGGTTGAAGGTGCCATCGAAGATGCTTGTACAAATTGGAAACATGGCGGACGTCCCAAATCAAAAATTTCAGCCACGATTGGATGTCTGGTGAAGATAGATCTGAACCGGCCGGACATGTTTTTGTTACTGCAAATTTATGCTGCTGAGAGCCGCTGAACGCTAAAGGTCACTGGACCCTGACGGCCGCTGGTCCCTGACGGCCGCTGGTCCCTGACGGTCGCTGGCCCCTGGCGGCCGCTGACCGCCGACGGCCGCCGGCCGCTGACGGTTGCTGGCCTCTGACGACCGCCGGCCGCATCTCGGCAGGAGCACCCAGCGTTGTCGGCAGGCAGTGTCGGCTGGCCGGCTACTCACAGTGGTTTGCCAGGAAGATCACCTGTTCCGGCCGTTCTCCGGCGGCGGAAACGGAGCGGTCACGCGCACCACCCTGACACTGACTGAGATGAACGTCCGGCCCACAGTTCACACCCGCCAGCACGGTAAGGGACGCTCACCGCTCCGCAGACGGCACAGGCGGCGCGGGATCACTCAGAATGGTTCAGTACTGCGCGTTCTGCCGTCTGCCGATGGCTTTTTATTCCGTAGCTGACTTCATTTCATACCACCGGGCATGTCGACTGCCTGCATGTTCTGGCGCTGTCGGCTGGTTATGACGCCGCTGCCGCTCCGTTTCAGAACCGCTGCGAGTGCGCAGTAGCGCCATGTTTGACCACTCGGCGCCAGAGCTGAAGGCGGTGGACCGTGCGGACGCGACGCGCCTCTTGCTGGCCGAAATGCAGCGGCAGACCGCTGAGGATGTGCGGCGCGAGGTCCCTCGCCTCTTCACGCAGCTGGTGCAGACACTGCGCCAAGCGGACGCGGCCAGCCTCGCCCGCCTCCTGCGCGAACAGACGCAGCAGACGACGCGCAAGTACCTGATGGACGCCCTGCCCATGCTGGGCACTGCCGCCGCCCTGGTCGTCATGAGGGACATGGTGATGCTCGGGCAAGTCGCTTCCGAGGAGACCGACCGCTGGATGACGTCTCTTGCCTTTGTGCACGAGCCGCGGCTGGACATGGTGGAGGCGGTGGCGCCGCTGCTGGCTGACGCTGGTGTCAGGACGCAGACGCTGCTGGGCGTCTCGGCCATGCTGCACCGCTTCTGCCGCGCCGATGTTGACTGTGCCCAGCGGCCAGCTGTGAGGCAGGCCGTAAGCAGCATCGAGCAGCTGCTTGGTGGCGACTGCGCGTCCGAATCCAGGGGAGGCAGGACCAGGGTCCTGGCAGCGCTGAAGGCCCTGGGCAACGTTGGACTTCTGATTCGCGGCGAGGGTGTCCTTCGCGCTTGCTTCGCGAGTAAGGACGACGTCGAAACTCGCCTCGAAGCCATCAGGGCGTACCGGAGGATGCCGTGTGCCGTGGTAAGCAACAGCGGGCTAGTGCACACATTCGCCAACCATTTGGAGAACAGCGAGGTTCGCATCGCCGCCTACTTGGCTGTCACGCAATGTGCTACCCACGAGGTTGTCGACAAGCTAATGGAAATTCTATCGAAGGAAACTGTCAACCAGGTAGGAAGCTTTGTGTGGACGCACATAACCAACATGCAAGAAACCAATGACCCCAGCAAGCAGTACTTGAAGTCGCTTCTCTACAATGTGGAGCTATCAAAAAAGTTTGCCACCGATGCAAGGAAGTTCTCACGATATTATGAAAAATCAGCATTCTTTGAATCCGTGAATGCCGGAGGGTCAGTGGAGGGCGCCGTGGTGTTTTCACCAGAATCGTACATACCAAGGTCCGGCATGCTAAACCTCACCGTCGATCTCTTTGGCGAGGCCATCAATCTATTGGAGGTCGGTGGCCGCGTGGAAGGCCTGGAGCACTATGTTGAAAACCTGTTTGGGAACAAAGGTCCGTACCCACAGGAATCCATTAGCCAGATCCTGCGGACGATGAGGGGTCGACCGAGCAGCAATGACATCACTAGGCTCTCGGATGCCTATAACGCCGCCAATGACGCGTCTGGGTCGTTTCATGCATCATCGTACGTGAAGATCTTTGGCAACGAACTGAGCTTTGGCACATTCGATGACCTCAGTGCTCTGGTTCGTGCTTTGGGCGACGACGGTCCAGTGAGCTTTCTGCAAAAGCTGGCAAAGGACAGAGACTGGACCGACAACTACCAGTTCCTGGATACGAGCTATACGATTCCCACTATGATCGGTCTTCCCTTCAAACTGCGAGCCGTGGGGGCCGCCACTGTTACGCTGAAGACGAGTGGACGCTTCAACATTGAGTCATGGAATAAGATGAATATCGAAGGGTTTATTAAACCTTCTGCTGCCGTGGAAATTGCCGCTGAAATGAGCGTAGACGCCTACGTTGCTCGCACTGGACTCAAGATGAACACAAATCTTCACACATCGACCGCTCTGGACGGACAGGTGGTCATTGATTCGGCTAAAATTGTGTCAATCAAGATGAACATGCCTAAGGATAAGGTGGAGATGCTAGATGTCAGAACAAGCTTCCATAGCGTTTACCAGAACCAGGAGATACCACTGGAGACGACCAGCAACAAGGTCGAATATGGCGCCTGCTCAGAGGCTTACACCGCAGCCGCGCTTGGAGTCAACATATGCTCAGAAATCTGCTACCCACTGCCCGCTGCCAGCGGTGCGAGCTTTCTGCTGACGGGCCCTCTGACCGCTCGCATCACCGTGGAAAAGACCGACACTGTCAAGGCGTTCATTTTCGAGTACCGACACTCGAACGAGGCAGGGGTGAGGAAATCCAGCCTGATGCTGGACACGCCGGGGACCACCACCAATCGGCACATAAACCTCGACTACATGATCAACTTCCGGAACAAGGCGTTCCGCGTCGGCATCATCACTCCCGTTAAGTCGGTGGAACTGGCGGGAAGTCTCGACGTGGCGACTGAGAGAAAGCACGCTGCTCTGCAGCTAGATATCGACCGGCGGGAGATCTTCGGTGTCACCGGCAGTCTGACGAAGAACGACACGCTGCGGGCTGTCGAGTATCAGCCTCTGGTCGTGATCCGGGGCTCATCCGGGCCGCTGTTTCGCCTCAAAGGGGAAGTGCTTGTCAATAAGGACAAACCCAAGTACGCCGTCCGCCTGCGCGCCAACACTCTGTACAACTATCCGATCGTCCTTACTGGTGAGTGATGGCCAGGCGTCTGCCACTGAACATTTACTCTAAGCTAGACAGGTGTCTGATTTCTTGTCTGTCAGCATTATCCAATCAGCACGATGAAACGCGCGAGTGCAGGACACTGTCACCTGTTCCTTTAACATCAGAGCCTTTAATTACATTTCCTGCGAGAGAGTCAAACGAAGGTATTTTCTAAACGTGCTGGTGTTAGTAGGCTGCATTTGTTACTTGTGAGAGAAACTGTCACAGATATGATCTCGATAACAAGGACACAGATATGATCTCGATAACAAGGACACAGATTATGAACCGTCAAGGTCACAAGCTTCACATCTACACATGTGTAAAAATGATGTGAGTGCAACTAACCAAGCGTTTCTCTTCTCACTTGCTCAAAATCTCGCGTTTCTCAAAAACACGGAAAACTTATTTTGGAAGAAAATTTAGGTCCTTCCTCGCAATACGAGGGCTAAGCAGCCTTAGTTTCGAAGGCAATGTTGGTGTACATTATATATATATATATATATATATATATATATATATATATCATTGTATGTATATATATGTATACATATATATATATATATACGTATATACACAAGTTAATTCAAGTTACATATAATATAACACGTCAGTGCAAGTTAGATCCGCATAAGTGGGCTCAGATCCTATAACATACATGTCACATGTATAATCATACATGTATAATATCCTATAATATACATGCCCTTGCGATGTTCATCACCTGCTTTCAATGGCATTTTCAGGTTCTGTTGACGAAGATGACGGCATGTATAGCATTGCCACATCCTTAAGCTCGCGTGCTCTGACCGGAACTCTGAACGGGATGTTCCGCCACGACGGCACGAGCCTCGTGCTGCAGACGGCGACAGAGTACAGCGTGCTAGATGGTCCCACGCGGACCATCTCCCTCAACACGAAGATGGACAAGGAAGCTCTCGGCGAACAGGCGTTGTACAAACTTTCCATGGAGACAAAGGTAACATTCGTACAGTTAAGGATGGTGTCTTGCAGATGCTTGCTGTAGCATATCTCTGATTTGCCGATTGCGCGTGGTGTGAACAACGCAAGTCATCGATTGTTCAGGCTGTTGGTTATCAGTCGATTGATTATTTGATTGGTCAGCAAGAAATTGTTCCCTAAGCTTCCTATGGATACGTGGAAATCAGTGAGGTAACGCTGGCATTTTGTATCGAATTTAAAAAGCTTACGCTTTGTAGGCCACACACTACCACGTTCCGTTCATGAAGACATCATCTTTGTTTGAAATTTAACAGCCGTGCTTGTGTTCGCCGATGTCTATGAATGACAGCTTAAAGCTGCTTGCTTGCGGTATCATTGAAGTATTTGCTTCCTGTTAACTGTACGACTAGGACATATACCAGCTTAGACTCTGTTCCCTGCCAATGCCTGAGTGCCAATGACCGGCGTCAGCTCAGCTCAGCTCATGGCCCCACAGTTGTCGGCGCTGCCGCTCCTCGACACGGAGCTGAGGGCGGAGCTGGCCAGGTCGCCAGGCCAGCACCGCGCCACGGCGGAGCTGATGCTCGGCCAGCGCCGATATCAGCTCAGCGCCGGCCTCGGTGACCAGCGCGGCAGGCGGTTCGGCGAGATTGCCTTTCAGGCGGCGCACATGGACGTCGACTTCAAACTGGCCACCGAGCTAGACGTGAGCGGAACGAGCGAGTTCTCAGCCGGAACGGTGCGGCTGAGCCGCTGGAACGCGACAACTGGCAAACGTGTACCATGTCTTTGTCTGGTCGTCCGCTCTGCGTCAATGACTGCCGCGATCCACACCCACTCGAACTCCTCGTGAACTCAATGTGCATTGCCCAGATCAATCAAATCCGCCAGTTGCGTATGCAATCGACCGACCCATCGATCGGTCTTCTTTGCAAAGCCAAAGTCAGTCTACCCCAATCTGGCACAGAAAAAAAACAATCAAATCGAATTGAAACATCAATCCGTAATATCTTAGTCACGATTAATACATAGATATACAACCCAGGATGTTCTAATGCATGTACGACCTATAACTTCATATCGATTATTCGATGTGTTCAAATCCACTGCTTCCTAGTGGCTTTTTACCTGAATCGAGTCGCATTTATGTTTCTTTTAGCGTTCACCATCGGGAGCAGCTTACTGCATGAATTTCCTCGATGAATTTAGCCTATCCAAGAATAGCTCTAGTACACAAAGCATACATAGGCAATATGCACAGCTGTAGCATACCGGTGTCTCGAAAACCCATCTTACCACTGAAGGGTTTATTATGATAAGCACTTATGGTGGATATGACTCGCAGTCAGTAGTATCCAACCCGAAACGGAACACAGATGATAATATGGTGCCACTCTAAGTGCAAAATGTCACGCTGGCTGGTGCCCATTTCCAGATGAGCACCAAACAGAGGCTTCAGCTGAGCACTATGGCACGGCTTAATCAGGACAGATTTGCCGGAGGAAGTCTTACTGTCAGCTACCTGTCTGAAGGCTTCAACTTCGACTACGGTGTCGACACCAACATCACTCTAATGACCTCCAGCTACGCATTGGTCGCCCAAGTGCGACGCGACGACGGAACAGCCGACCTTACGGTAAGCATCAAAATATAAGTACCAAGCATGGGGACAAAGCCGGCTTAGATTTCGAGAATCCCCAGTTTTCACCGAATCGCGTCGGGTTCAGCGTCAACTTTGTGTAAAGAAGTCTACTTCACGACGGTAGGGTCTGCAGAGTCATTAGCAACCTCCAAATGTACTCAGACATATAATCTCTACAAATTTCCGAAGTCTCTAGGACAAGAAAACCATCAGCAGACATCTAACCCTTCTGGGTAACAAACCATTCAAATCAAGCTGGCTGTTCCACCGGAAACTAGAACAACGGCTGCTGTGGTTCACTGACGAACGTCTACCAGTTATGTTTTTCAATGATTCTTTTAAAAAGTAATGATCGTTGTTATCCATGCGGTAGATACATCAGTCAGTCTTGGGGATTGCGAAGTGATCCCACACTCTGCGATCCGTTCAGCCTGCCAGTCACGCCCATCGTGAGATGTTTTACACGTTGTTCTTTGGTTTCTCATAACGTAATATCACATAACTTCGTACCACTTGTCTGACCGTTTCCACCTGAAAGCAAGTTATAAGGCAATCCGTCTGTTACCGTGTACAGTGGCGGCGCCATTGATTTGAGTGGGGGTGGAGGGGGGGGGGGGGTAAGATTTTCAACGTGGCCTCCTGGACAAAATGTGGCCTTGTCACAGGGGTCTCATGGGCAGTGCCATATCCAAGGAGGAAGGGTACAGATGGCATGTGTTTTTTTATCAAAATGCATCCTATCCATTAAATATCCAATAAACTTGTATGGAAGCACATGTAAACAATGAAAAATGAATCGGGATCGGCCTTCTAGTTGTTCAGTAGTCTCCGCGACCCAAAAGCGGGCCAACTGAGGCATGAAGGTCGCATGAATCCAGAGCAAGGTGCTTTCATTTCACGAATGGGGGCCTCGAAATCTAGCCCAGCGGCCTAGCCATCGCAAACGGGCATCCTGAGCCGGAACCGCGGCCATCTGATGCATGGAAGGGGCCTCTGCCCTAGAAATGGGGCGTCTGTAATGTATAGGGTGCCTCTTAACCAAGAACAGGGTCTTCCAGTTTATAGTGGTGGCCTTCCAAGCCATCAAAAGGGTCGCCTTAACACAACATTGGGCCTTGTGATCTAGGGCATGCGGGTTTTGTCTTATTGATCAAGGGGGGTTACTTGTCCAGAAAAATGCCGCTTTGATGTAGAAAATGGCCGTCCCGAGCGCGATTTACCACTCGCTTGCTCAATTCTCTCTAGCCTTTCGATCTGAATTTTGATCGTTTACGGATGGTTACAATGCATTTACTTCGGGAAAAAGGGGCCTCCCATCAAACTGTCTACCTGATGGCAGGCAGGGGAGGCAACTGCCCCTCTGCCCTCCCCCTCCCTTTGCTGCGCCGCCACCGACCGTGTATGCTCATTAGATGTGAGAACGCACGAAACACAATAGTGTTGTTGGTTGTATGTGTGGACCCTGCAGTGTGGAGTTAGTATTGGTGATGGTGAGATGCTGATCAGTAGAACGTCTAAATTTACAAAATTTATATTTGCTTGACTCGCGATAAGAAGTGACAGAAGCGAGGTCGTCACTAGTATACATATCACGCAAGCACTGATAAATCTGTTTCGCTTAGTGTCATGCTTTATGACAGGATTCGGCTTTGGCTTCGAATTAATGCAAATAAAAAATGGCTTTCGTTGGCTTTGGCTCCGGATATTTGTCACGTTGAAGAGGTGGCCTCGGCTACGGTTTCGGCTTTGAACATTTTTTGAATGGTGGTTTCAGCTTCGGTTTCCTATGATCTTTGATGGATTGCTGCCCGTTTTGTCACTCCAGTATACTACACAGAGCTTCAAGGCTGCTACCCATGCATGGCTGAGACCCCAAAATCGCACGGTTATTCTCAGGTCCATAAGCACCTGCTGACGCCGGAGAACCAACTGTCCGAAATGTTGCAAACACACTAAAACAAGATGAGGCTGCAGCTTCGACTTCGATGTCATACCATTGTCTTAGCTTCGGATTCGGCTTCGAAGCCAGAAGCCTAGCTTCGTTTCCATGCCTGGCAAGCCGTCGCTGACTCTCTGACCACACTGACCGCATGGGCGCATCCATTACGAGGCGCGGGCTCGTCCCCCGCGTCACCAGCGTCTGACGCCGCGGCGCGGGGTTTCAGTTTCTGGCCTCCCGAGAGGTGGGGAGCGAGAGCAGGACGGTCCGGCTGGCCGCGGCGCTCGGTCTGGACGAGACGGACGCGCACACGCTGGACGCCAGTCTTGACCTACCCAACTACCCAAGCACGCGGCTGAGTGGCCGGCTGGCAGCCGGCAGTGGTGGCCGCTACCTGGTCAGCGGCCAGCTGCAGCGCGGCCCGCACGTCTACATGATCAGCGGCCAGTACCGCTACGAGGCCGAGCACGTGCTGGGCTGCGCGCTCGCCTGCCGCGGCGAGAGTAAACACCGGCACGCTGTCGGCCCGCACCGAGGGCGCAACTATAAGGTCAAGGCCGACCTGCAGCTAGGCCGCCGCATCATGACCGTCGTCAGTGTAAGTGGAGGGACGGACCGCCGCTAGCACTCGTCTCATGTGGCCTAGCAGCGACCTCATGTGTCACGAAGCTCACCAGGTCATCATGCGTTTCACTACTTTAAGCTTTGGACGGTTCACGTGCGTGCGTGCGTGCGTGCGCGCGCGCGTACGCTTGCGCATGTGCGTGTTCGTGTGCGCATGCGTGTGCGTGTGCGTGCGTGGCTGTGTGGTGCGTGTGTGTGTGTGTGTGTGTGTGTGGTGTGTGTGTGTGGTGTGTGTGTGTGTGTGTGTGTGTGTGGGTGGTGTGTGGTGTGTGTGTGTGTGTGTGTGGGGTGTGTGTGTGTGTGTGTGAGCGTATGTGTGTACGTGCGCGTACACGTGCGCGTGTGCGCGTGCGTGTGTCTGTGCGTTTGCGTGTGTGTGTGCGTGTGCGTGTGCGTGTGTGTGTCTTTGACATTGATAAAACATGCACTTGACAGACAGTCTTCCACATATACCCCGGCATTTCAGGTGCGTCCAGGTGGTCCGGAAATGAACGCCAACTTTGAGCTGTTCTGGAATAAAGACGTCGATGATAGTCAACACGTAATCATGGAGATCTCAAGGGGGGGTTACGACCTGTCGGCTAAGCTACGGTACCCTGGCCGTCAAGTCCAGCTGCTAGCCGGTTTGACGTGAGTACCGCAACTTGTCTGGGAGTGAAAGCCGCCAACAATTGCCAGAGTGACCACCGACCCACCGCTGCCACACCATCAGCTGCGCTCACGCTGAGATCCGTCGAAAAGAAGCAGCGTGTTGTCCGAGTTGTTTGGTTTGCCCAATGCATGCGCCGGTCGTAGTACCAGCACAAGTTATGGGACTTTCTTCTTTTCCAGTTCAAGTGGCGTGCGCTTCTCTGGAGTACGCCCCGACAAGGTCATTTTGTTGGAGGGCAGAGTGGCTGTACAGAGCAACAACAAGCTCGCTCT